AACTACAGGAGATTTTTTTGGAAAGCAGGGAGTGTTATGATCACAATATAACAAAGCCTTGAATAACAGGTTAACTTGGAATTTAATTTAAACAGCAAATAGGGAACCATTAAGGTTTCTAATTAGAGGAGCGATATGATCATCAAGTCCCGCTTTGTGGACATCATTTTTCCAGGCACGTATTAGATGGACTGCTACTAAATTCTGTCTTAAAATTATTTTGGCTCCTGAGTCTGTCAACACAGTAATTGTTATCCTCCTAGCTTTGTGTCATCTGTGAACTTGCTCAGCACGCTACCTATGTTCTCATTCAAGTCATTAATAAAATTAATTAATAATTTTGCATTAAACCTTGTCAGTGGAGTGCAACTAGATATTTCATTGCAGATTCAGGGCACAGTACTTTCAGCCCCAATACCATTTCTAAAGCAACACTTAGCAGACATTCTAATTAGTGTGATTGAGGACCTTAATTGATATTCTCATGAGTAACTGGATTATGCCAAAGGCAGAAAGGAGTCAGGTCACCAAATAAAGCTAATCTAAAGATAACTTGAGTGCAAATACAAATCCAGGGTCAGTCTTGCCCTGTGATGATTAGAATAAAGCAGACTGAAAAGAAAATTTACTATGTAGGCTTGTTTTGACAGACTAACGGTTCCAAGGTTAGTGGAGGCAGTTGGCTCATCTGAGATCTCTCCAAGAAGGCAGGTTCATTTAACATTGTCTTGCATTCTGCCTCAGAATTTTATTATTGTGACTAGTAACACACTTTGGTTCTTGTTTCTTAGAGGGAGAGGGCACTGAGTATTTTCAGAGATGGAGAAATTGTTAAAAAGCAAAGGAACCTGCCTAATAACACGTTTTCTCATGGTCTGAATTACAACCTAGCTTTAGAGTACTGTGATGGGGTTTAACAGATTCTGCCCTTGCTTCAGATGATTGGAACCTACATATAATAAATTTCCAGTCATCTTTCCCTGCATTATCCACTTTATTTATTATATGATCATGTTCATACTTTCCCTCTGAGGTATTGATACTTCTCTCATATTTAATGCTATTATTTCCCAGTATATCAACTTGGACCCTTACATCATCCAGCAAGAAGTTTCAAATATGTACTTAGTTCTATGTAATCAATGACAATGTTAATGATGATCGTTAACATGTGCTCAGCACTTTAACATAGAACGTTGCCTATGAATCTTCCTATTGTCTCCATTTTCTAGGCTTAATAAGTGTTGGGATCTCCTTATCTCTGAGTTAGCCCTGACAACTGGTTTCTCTCACTGGCCCAGCAGGTAACAAGCTAAAACTGAATTTGCTGCCTCAAGGATTATAATTTTTCTGACTCACCATTCACTCAGCCTTCATTCTACAAGCAATACTTTAGGACTGGATTTCACCCTCAGTTTCCTCATTTCACATACAGCTCCATATACAAGCCATAGCTACTCTTTGAAGCCCATCAGCCTGGTTGGGGCTTGGGCCTTCAACCTGATGTTTGCCAGCACTCTTTTCCAGGAGCCTGCATTTTGTCCCCTGTAAGGTCTTGCTCCAAGCTGGATAAGCCTCCAGTAACCATGAAGCTGCTATCATCTGATTCTTTCTCATCAACAGATGCCCTTTGCTATGACCTGACCACTGAAAACTTGGTCATTAACACCAAGGCACTGACCCTTGATGGTCATGTGGGGTCAGCCCTTGCTATGACCTGACCACTGAAAACTTGGTCATTAACACCAAGGCACTGACCCTTGATGGTCATGTGGGGTCAGGCATATCCCTTTCTTGAGTCCTGATCCCCTCCAAATTCTCCTTTTTCCCTTCTTTAACTTACTGATAAAGTTTGAGCAGGTCTTGCACACCTATAACAAACAAGCATTTGAAAGACATATGACAAATTATTAATTGCCCATTTTACAGAAAAGGGGCTTTTATTAAGAAATTAGAGTTAATTTCATTATCAATCCCCATCTTGTTTCTAAAGTTTTTAAATGTTTTTTTTTTTTAATTAAATGTATTGGGGTGACGTCGATTAATAAAATTATATAGGTTTCAAGTGTACAATTCAATAATACATCATCTGTATATTGCATTGTGTGTTTACCACCCAAAGTCGAATCTCCTTCCATCACTATATACTTGACCCCCCCTAGTTTTTTGAACCAGAAAATATTCTTGTGCAGAATATTTCAGAATCCAATATTTACTGGTAAACAAAGGTTTTGGCAAAGTAACATGAAATCATGGCTCTAATTCTGGGTAAAGTGAAGTAAGCATACTCCATCCACCCTGTCTCTCAATAAATGCAGTTATAAACCTGGGCAGAATGTATGGAGCAACCACTTGAGGACTCCAAAAAGTATATAATGGCATATTCTTTTCAAGTACACTCACCAGGAACACTCACCAGGATAAGCCATATCACGTATCATATATCACACCTTAACACATATAAAATATTAAAAGTATATTCTCTAACTATACAATTAAACTGGAGATCAATAAAAAAAAATAGGAAAATCTCCGAACACTTAGAAATTAAAGAATATATTTCTAAATAATCCATAGGTCACAAAGGAAGTCTCAAAGGAAATTAGATAATATTTTGAAATAAACAAAAATAAAAATACACCATACCAAAATATTTGGGATACAGTTCAATGCTTACAGGATAATTTGTAGCATTAAAGGCTTATACTACATAAGAAGAAAGACCTTAAGTCTATAATCTAATCTTCACCATTAAGAACTTGGAAAAAGAGAAAAATAAACCAGTCAAGCAAAATGAAGAAAATAATGAAGAGAGATCAAGAATTTAAAAAAAAAAAAAAGGAAACTAAGAAAAAATATTAAAACCAAAAGTTGGCACTTTGAAAAGAACAATAAAATTGCTAAATCTCTAGCCAGGTAAACCAAAAAGGAAAAAAAGGAGCATGTCACCAATATCAGAAATGAAAGAGAGTACATCACTACTGGTCACTCAGGCATTAAAGTGGTGATAAGGCAATACTAAAAAATGTAGGCACATAAATTCCACAGTTTAGATGAAATAAACCAACATCTTATAAACTACAAGCTAATAAATATCACCCAAGATAAAATAAACAATCTGATTGGTTCTACTATTATTATTAAAAGAAATTAAATTTAAAATTAGAAACCTTCCAAAAAAGAA